CCATCCACATCCACTCATGTGTGTGTCTATCCTCCCTCCCTTCAGCACCATTGTGTGTCCTTCTCCCCCTTCCAGCCCTTTCAGTCTGGTGTGATAACCCGTCAGTGTTGCCATTCAGTTACCCGGGGCAGTAACAGAATGTAAATAGTAGTGAATGGTAAAATCGTATGGCTGAAGCGCCAGGCTCCAGCTCAACAGCCTGGAATTGTGCCCTGGTTTAGCCACATTAACGGGTTGTGATCCGTGAGCAGGGCAAATTGTTGTCCGTGTAGGTAAGGTGGCAATTTCTTTAGGGCTCACACCACCTGAAGACATCCTTTTTCAATGGTGGAGTAGCTCACCTCAGTAGTTTGTGACTGAGGTAAACTACCGGGTGTTCTCCGCCATTCTCCCCGACCTAGGTCTGCACTGCTCCCAATCCAAACATAGAAGCGTCTGTGTGAACAAGAAAGCATTTAGTTGGATTGGGAGCTGCCAGGACAAGGGCATTCACCGAAGCTTCAAATTCACTCTAGGGCCCATACTACTTGGCGTGGCAGGTTTTTTTAGGGTTAGGTCAGTGTCTCCCAGTGTCCCAATGTCTCACAGTGTTCCCATGTCTCTTAAGTGTCCTCTAGTGTCCAAGTGACACTGAGCAACATGGGGACACAAGGGGGTACTGGGACATTGTGATACTTCACTGGACACTGCTGTTAGGGGGTATGGATTTACTTGAAAGATGAAAGCATAAATTAGAGAGAGATTAGCATAGAGTGTGTGTTATCTCATAGCTGCATCCTATGAGTTTCCCTTCAGCACCACTTCCGTCAGATACATGATGATTGGTAGGTATGACTGTTTTGGTGTTTTTGGTCGGTAAGATTCTGTAATTAGGCCCATCATAATTGTCAGCACCAGGCCCACTGGGCTCTTAATCTGGCCCTGCTTGTAGGTAGTGTATTGTTTTGTATAGTGTAGGCATTTGAATGCTGGGATGTATGTACATATAAACATATACTGACACAGATACAGACACACCGTGAAACACACATAGGTACACATACTGACGAAAACACACGCAAGTCATAATTTTACAAATTTTTAGCCTGCTTCCATACTCTTTGGGTATAGAAGGTTGACTTCCCCGGGGTTCAATTTTGGTAGCTGGTTGAGACTGATAGGAATCTGGTACAGACTCTTCAAACCCCCCCCCCCCTTCCCCCTGCACTGCCGATATGACAGGGGCCCAGTTGTGCTTTTAAATGGCCATGTTGCCAGACAAGAGATGCCAATAATGTGGCCCCACATGTGAGGGACACCCGATGGGCCTCTTAAGCTTTCACTTCACTGGTGCTTTTGAATATTTACATTGATTAGTTACCATAACATTCTGTTAGCCTAACATTGACACAGAATACACACAGACACACGCACTGCTACAAAAGGACACAGACAATAATCAAATGATACCGCACTCCAGACAAAAATGTTGAAAATGCAAAAAGTATAATGGTATTTGTTAATAGAACATTGCCACTATTGGTTAAGGCTGATGATCAACCCATTAATCATAAGTAACAGATACACAAAACAGCTGAATATCCTGTCCATATATATACTTAAAAAAAAAAAAATAAAAAAAATATAAATATATATATATATATATATATATATATATATATATATATATATATATATATATATATATATATATATATATATATAAAAATTTAAGTTAATGGGACTGGAGCTGCAGCTCCATCAGTCCCTATGTTAATCTGGCCCTGTCTGCCATATGCAAGTAGTCAAGCCATTTTTAAACAGTTTGAATTGTAATTTGTGATCCACCAGGCATTGCTCCCTACCACCAATGCAGCAGGAAGCTCTCAGCGCTGCAGCACTTAGCTCACTGGCTAAGAGCAATTAGCTGATGCTTTCAGCCAATGAGATGGTGTTGCATCGCAGAACCTATCCAGGAGATCTAACAGAAATTCCTAAGCACAGGTAAGAATTAAAAACCTATAATGGTTTGACTACTCATAATGGGGAGAGCGCAAGAGCACGCCTGATACCATAACCACTGCAGCACATTGAAGTTGTCATAGTGTTTGGGGTGTTCCTAAAAAAAAAAATAATAATAATTAAAGTTTCCTTTTCTTGAAAAAACTTGTTTTCTTTAAACCGGCACTGTCATGCCGAACTTACCTTTCTTTAATCGATTCCTCTTTTCTCCCTCTGTCACGATCTGTTCTTCATTTCTTGTCTGCTATAGTTTTCTTTAAAAATAAGACAAAGTCGGGACTACTTTGTCTTCTGGAGGTTTCCTATGCCTGACCAGCTATGACAAGCGGAGGAGCAAAGTGTGATTGGATTTTTATTTGGCCTTTTTTAGGGCTGAAAAATGAAGATTTAAGAAGACCTCAAATGGTAAGTTTTTTTTTTTTTAGTTTTTTTTTAACAGATACTTAGTTATTTTGTTCCCCCCTCACTATTTTTAGGGTGAGGGGGGGTAGGTAGGGGTTTATTAATTATTATTATTTTTGCGGGGTGGGGGGCTGACTAGGGGCTTGGGGACCCCTAGTCACCTTGTAAGGGTAACATTTTCAATTAGGGCTCCCACCCACCACTCAAGGGTGGGGGCTGGGGGCGAGGACAATAGGTCCCCCCCATTATTGTTATTTAGGGCCCCTACCCGCCACTCAGCGGTGGGGGTCGGGAGGGGGGAGAACAATAGGTTCCTGTGGCAGAACCAGCCACTTATTTGTACTAGAGACTTAGATGGTTCAACAATTTGGAGTTTCTGAACGGATTACAGCTATATTGTTCGTATGTCAAACTATCTACTGAACAGTGGGAACACTCAGGGGAGTCATGTGCTTCCAATTGACTTATAAACTGGAAGGTTCTAAATGGTCGGATGGGTGGCCATCATTCGTATGACCGAACACGTGGCGGCGGCCATCTTTGTTCATGAACAGACAGCGGTGTTTGGTTGTCGAGTGCATGGAACTATAATCGGACACTGGACGGCGCGAACACCGCTGAAGTTCCATCCCTTCGTATGTTCGTTCCCCTTTACCTATACAGAGCGGCATTAGTATGAAAGACACTACCAAACATAGGGCACACGACCCCCTGCTACACAAACCGTTCACTTCGTTATTTTAATGGTGAATACTCCCAAATGAAGACCGGTCAAAGCCTAAAACCATCTGGGACTATTTTGGGGTTGTTCGGTCTAAACTTCACTCTAATGGCGTTCCTAATCTATATCATTGATATTTCGACAGAGTGAGCGCTCAGATCCCTGCCATTCGGTGAAGTTTCTTTTGTGGAATTCTGAATAATATATATTATAAATGTTTGAAATATTGTATGTTTTCTGTACCTGGGAGATAATGTCATTAAAGAGTTGTCCATACTCCATTATCTCCCAGGTACAGAGGATGAAACTGGGAAATGTTACTTTGTCCCCTGTCCCCAACAGGGTCCACCAGTGAAAAACCCCTGGAATGTAATTAAAGAAACCCCCTGCATGGGGAGTTGCATAAAAGCCAGCTGTGGCAGAATAAAAATCAGTTGACTCCCAGAACTGTGTATCGTCTGGTTATTGGGAGATTGGGATTGTGTTGCTGTACTGCGCTTCTCTTGGAGGTTTTTACAGTCTACCAGTTGAGATTTTTATTTTAATATTGCAGCTCCGCTACAGTCCCCCCCCTTATTGTTATTTAGGGCCCCCATCTGCCGCTCAGGGGTGTGGGCCAGGGGAGGACAATAGGTCCCCCACCCCACACATTTTCATTTAGGGCCCCCACCCGCTCAGGGGTGGGAGTACAATATGTCCCCCCCTTGTTATTTAGGGCCCCCACACGCCCCTTTCAGTTTAATACTAGGGTTGTTTTTAATAGCCACAGGCTGCTCATTGTTTAATAGACATGCCCCTACTCGCGGCATAGCGTGTAGGGGCAGAATTTACTAATACTAAGTAATCTTTAATTAGTATTAGTAAATTTACCGTTTCATTCATTCGAATGAAATTCCGATCAGAACAAAGTCCCGAATTACGTCTTAACACGAAGGGAGAAACTGTTCTCATTCTGTTGGGACAAAATTCGGCAGTTTCGCCGGCATTCTGTGTAAGTGACAGGCCATTCGGGAAAAGTGAAAGGAGGCTTCGCGGGAACACAGAGGAAAGGTGAGAATTGTGGGAAAATTGCTCTGACCACCGGAAATGAAGCACACTTTGCTCCTCCGCTGGTCATAGCTGGTCAGGCGTAGAAAAACCTCTGTAAGACAAAGTAGTCCCTACTTTGTCCTCTGTTTTAAGGAAAACTAGAGCAGACAGGAAAAAATGAAAAACAGATTCTGGAACAGCTGGAGATTGACTCAGTCACTGCTGATCTCATAGATTAAAAAAAAAAAAAAAATCAATACCAGTTAATTAAAAACCCTTTCCTTTGTGATCAGGCCTTTTGAAAGGAGCAGATTGTTTAAATGTATTGTTTTGTAGTCTGCACTTCACATTGTATTTTTCTGTGTGTAGTAGCAGCTTGGCATACAGGATAATATGTTGCTCAGGTTGAAGTCGCAGTGCCAAACAATGATTTATAAGAGATCTGTTTACTTTAATTGTTTGCCCGACACATGCTGGCTGTATCCTCTTAAAATGAAGCTGTGTTTATTTGTTCAGTACTCTAATACTTATTTGATACTTATTTGATCCCAGCTGTAGTTATGGTAACATACTTCATCCAATGCAGTATATGTCAATGCTAGGATCAGGCATTAACCATATTCTACTGTCACAGCGAATAACTTACCCAAATTTACGCAATAAATAAAAAAAATTATTGAATGGCATTTTTTTTTTTTTTTTTTGTAATTCAGTAAAAAGCTGATAATGTGGCATTGGCCACGGTACCATCAAACCATAATTTCTTTAAATTCTAGTTCTAAGCCTCACACTGGATTTCTACATAGTAATTTAAAATGTGTGTTTTTCAGATTTTGGGCTGGCTTCCATGTTGGCTTATGTCCCTGCAAGAAGTTGCCATGTCCAACTTACAAATGAGTCTGGAAAATTTTCTCCTCCAGTGTTTTATGGAAATATGGATACCTATCTCTGGTGCAACTGGACTATTTTGGCTGGTCCAGGGAAGCACATTATAATTTATATTAATGGCTTCCAAACAAACTTAAACTGTGATGAGAACCAGGATGAAATAATATTTGAAGGTGTTTCTTCCACTGTCGAAAACAGTGTGGTATATGCTTGTTGGAATAAATATACCCATGTATATGCTACAGAAGCTGTAGCCGTCCATATTGTGTTTCTGTGGCGCAGTTTTTCACATATTTCTTCCAGCAAATACTTTGAAGGAAAATATTATGTTTTCGAGGACCCTGACCATAGAAATACCACAAGCCACCATCATTGTGTACTAGAACCTATAATGCAAAGTACACTCGCCATCGAAAGTACATCAAAGCCGAGGTCTGAACCATCTATACCTACAGTTTTGGATATGACGACATATGAACAGAACAGCACAGCAATTCTCCCTAAAAATGGGAAACAAATGTCATGGTTTCCAACAGATAAAGCCTCTTTGACTCTAAACCAAAAGGATCAAACATTTCTTCCACACACTTTAGATGTGACAAGAGCAGAAGATCGTCTTTATTCCTCCTTGCACTCTGCAGAAGAAAGCTCACCTAACACTAATGAAGAAGATGTTACAGGAGTCCTAAGTTATGGAGAACACCATACCATGGCTGAAACCCCCCTACAGCATTTTACAAACCCAATTACAGGATACATTGTTATTCCAAGTACCACAGATATGGCAGCATTAGAAAGATTTCCCTACCCTACAAAGGATCCAGCAGAAGGCTACAACAATACATATTCTACCTCAAATATAGAAGAAGTAGCTGTAATTAGCAGTTTTGCAGAATTGCAAAATTCCTTATTTGAGAACATTGTGCCATCCTTTACACTGCAGACAATGGATGCTTCATATATTCCAGACATCTCGATTCTGACATCAAATGACGCTTCTCTTCATTTTTTCATTCACCCAACAGAAGATAGCACAACTACCACAATTGGAGAAGAACATGGAGCAGTACACAATAATGGAGACCATCTCTTATTGGAAACATCTTTAACGTCCTACACTTTGCATCTTCCAGATTTAACATCTGTGCGAGACACCCTAGTCCTGAAAACAGAAGCGGTTTCTCTGCGTTATTCTATGAGTCCCATAAATAGCAGCATCTCAGGGATCAAATCAGACCAGTTTTTAGGAAACCTTGATTATGGAGAACATTTTCTAGTGGAGGGTATTTTACCTTCCATTACACTGAAAGACCTAGCTTCAAGCCGCAGTGCAGAAGAAATTCTAGAATTCACACATAATGGTGAACAGGCATCAAGTGGAACCAGTTCAACCCCCCTTACAACGTACATAGAGGAAGAAATTTCAAATCCAGTCACCACTGAAAGTGATTTGGTTACAGATAACGTGGAAAGTAGCTTAACCCCAGCATTCCTGTCAGACGATGATATTGTTAAATATATGCGTGGATTACCATTCAACTATGTTGAAGAAGATAATGAAATACTAGATGATTATATGGAAATCTTGACCCCACCAGATCTATTATCAAATAAAACTGACCAAAAGGATGCAACTCCCAAATCTATTTTGGGAACACAAAAGACTGAGCTACCAACATCTCAAGAGTTTACAGCCAATTCAAAATTTTTGAATATGAAAAAGACTGTGTTTGGACCCAACCATTCTCTACTGACTAAAGAATTGTCAAAAACTCCCATCTTAGATGCTGTGGAACCGTCTTTTATTGCACCATTCATATTCCGCACCAAAGACATTTTAGCATCAATTCCTTTTGATATTATGGAAGAAGGCAAAATATTAAAGAAGTCTCTTGATACTCATGCCACATACCCTTTGTTAGACCGAAATCAAATTTTAGGAATTTTCCCTTCTAATGTACCTTCTCCTGCTGTTCATGTTTTTAACACAATGGACACAAAAGATATTGATCCAATGCAAAAAGTCAATATGATTATTTCAGATAAAGTTTTAGATGAAGCCGAGCAAGTCAACCCCTCTCAGATAGACACACAACCAAGAGACGGCAGATACAACTTTTTGGACAGTTCGATATCTACCTCCAGAGTGATCATCGAAGAGCAGGAAAGAAGCACTTACTCCTATCGATCATCTGATTCCAATCAATTCATACTTGAAGCAGAACAGCCTAGTAGTTGTTTTTGTCTTTATTTTTTCCCATTTGTATTGTCCTGGGCATAAATCGCTTTGAGCAAAGTACTGAGAAATCTGCTACGTTCTTAGCTTAGATATCAATGTTATAAGTCATTATCTGTTGATAATCATCTCATGGGGAGGCTTTTGTGTTCTACAGTCTGAATAAAAAAAATATATATTTTTATTTTTTTATGGATTATATTTCATTGTATTACATAGAGACAGGTTAAAAAATGAGAAGTATATGATTAGTTCAATAACATTCTTATACTTGCTGTATAGTAACCAATCTTGCAACCTGTCAAATCATGGCTACAAATAAATGTACTTCTTTTCTACTTAGATAAGGAGGAAACAACCACATACACTGAAAATAAAATAGACTTGGGTATTCCACATCCTCCTGGAGGTAAATTTATGTTTTTAATTATTATTATTATTATTTTCTTTCTTTCTTTTTTGTTGTTGTTGTTGTTGAATTTGTGACCACAATGAAGATAACACAGTAGAGGAATCCCATGGACTGTAAGGAAGGGGAAACATGACTGCTGCCCCAGGGCCATCTTTAACGTGGGGCAAAGGGCCTAGTTACTATTGTGGGAACCAAAGCAGCTGCCCCATGGGCCCCGCTGCCCTAAACAATTTTTTTTTTCCCCAATGGGGCCACCGGCCCGCACATTAAGGAGGTCACCGGTTGGGTATTTGTAAGCAGGGGCCCGGTCACACGCTGTAACAAAAAAAGGGGAGTAGGGGGCACACACGGAACATGCATTTCACACTGGTGCTGCTACACACTATGGCCATATGTTGAAACTGAATCCCCATATTTGTTTGCTAAGAAAGGTGATTTTAAGTAGACTTGTAAAATTTTAAATGTATTTTTGTGTGTGCGCTGTCTTAACTTACAGTTAAATAATGAATATAGACTTAATTTGCAGTCTCTCTCGCTTTAATTTGAGGGTATTCACGTTTAATTTAAGACCAGGAAATAAGGGGACTGTGTGTGAAAATGGTTGAAATTCCTAAATGTTTCATACAATATTTTTCTTCAACCCCTTGAATTAAAGCTGAAAGTCTGCGCTTCAACTGCATCTCAGTTGTTTAATTTCAAATCCATTGTGGTGGCGTACAGAGCCAAAATTGTGAAAATTATGTCGGTATCCAAATATTTCCAGATCTATCTGTAATATAATCAGACGTATGTAGATTTTATTAAAAATGTCAAATATTTTCTCCTTGCTTCAAAAAAAGTCATTTTTCTTCTTGAGTTATGGTAAATATTTGAAAGCAGACGATTTTGCTGTAACTTCATCCAGACTCTAGGATGGTCTCTCAGCTCTGATGTGTGGCATAAAAAAGCCCACATGTGTGATTCTAGTATGTTTTAATATTAGCGTGCAAGCCAGGGTGTTTATATGCATTATGAATAGTATTTATTTAATTATTTTATAATAATTCATATTTTATGTGTAAATTCTACTGTGAGTCGTCAATATTTAAACAAGGTGAGTCACTTCTCACTCACAAAACCAAACAAACTGAAATTGTGTTTTGTACAATCACTGACAAATGAAGTTTTCCTTCCCACCAATCATAGCCATGACTTGGCAGATAGCAGACCAGATCTCTGGGGAAAAATAGTGAGTAAACCTTGGATAATTATAGATGATTTATTAAACCAGCCAACAAGAAAATATCCATTAAATTGAATAATGCAGTATTCGCATTTATAGATGCATCATTAATAATATCGGCCGGAAAATGTCCAATGAGAATAGCTGTAATGTTAGCATCAATACCTTTAAAATAAACTGCAGCAAAATAAAATACGGAGTTTATGAAAATAGGTGAAAGTTAAGATCACGTTCTGTTAAAAAAAAATATATATATATTTTCAAACATTTAATTATTTTTCTTTTTTTCCTCTCATTTTAAACAGATCGTCTTTTTGCAATTTCTGTTGAATTGGAACACAAAGGAATACTTTCGGATGAACTAGAATCTAAGATTATTGAATCCACTACTCAGAAAGTAAGAGAAGAAATGTACTTATTTCCTTCCCAATACATATTTAATTAGTACATGAGTCAATAACGTGAGTCATTTCTTCTTTCTCTTTAAAGATTCAAGAGAAGATGGTCTACCTCCCAATTACAGACAGCTCACTGTTGTTAAAGAAACTAAAGAGGCAAGTTACTAATATATGTAGTATGTGATTTATTTATTTTTTTAAATCTCTCAAAGGAAATCTTTGTGTGTATTTTGGTAGATATTACCTTAAACTAGACATTGTTTTGATTGTTTGGTTTCTTGTAATATATATGTTTTAGCACTCAATTTATTTAACTGTCTAACTGTTAAACTACTAGAAATTAGTCGGTCATTAGTGGCCATTAAGAACCATCGAATTACTAATATACACAACTTAACATATCTCATTTAAAAGGCCAAACTGGAGGATAATATATATTAAAAAAAATGTATTCAATACTATAAAAAAAAAATATTAATTAATAAATGTGTATATATAACAGGAATATATGTTATTTTGGGCAGTCACATAATTACTACAATTCAATGAAATGCACATTGAAAGTAAATAAATTCAGTGTTTACCTTTATAGGAACCTGCTAGTAAACATATGAATGACCCCGTGCATTAACGATTATGGACTATAGAGATGTTTCACAGCAGGCCAATATAGAGGTAAATACTGAGTTTATTAAAAGGACATGCCAGTCTGGAATTGAACCATTATTTTTTTGTATGTATTGTATAGATCAGAAGTAGGCAACCTTTGGCACTCCAGATGTCCCATTATTTAATGTGGCTCATACGATGGTATCCGTGCCTAATTCCTCTGTCTATATATTTACAGGCCTGAAGAGAACCGTGTAACATTGATATACTGGTTGTATTTAAAAAATAGAGGGAGAGGAAGTGACATTGCCAACCTTCTAGAAATCCAATTAAATGATCTTACAAACACTTCCTTGGGGGCACTGAATGGAACACTGTTATCGTTTTCTGTTGAAGGTAAATATTTTTACTTCCCATGATCCTTTGCACACCTAAGTGAAAATGTATTTTTATTTACAAAGTACATTAAGTAGGGTTCACGTTTAGTGAGTAACCAGTGAAAATACTTATACAAATATACATACACGTGAAGTGTGAATTTTGGAGAAATATATTTTTTTTCCAAATTGACTATTTTGGCCTAAAATTTGAAATTCTCTTTGAAATCATTTTAGTAATCCTATAAGTATTGCCACGTGAAGTATTATGGGTGAATACATTTTAAGATATGGGATGATATCTAGATTCCTATATTCAAATACAATCACAGCATTACTAGAATACACCAAGTACCATAACCACTGCAGCCCAATTTTGTGGCCCAATTTAACCTTATGGATCCTATTGTTTTGTTTTGCATGTGAATAAAGTCCAATCAGCACCCTTAAATTGTTCTTTTACCTTCTTTAAAGATGTGAATGAATGCCATACTGGAATCCAGCAATGCGATGTCCACGCTTATTGTCTAGATGAGTTTGGTACATATTCCTGTCAGTGTATGAATGGGTATAAGGACCAATCTCCTGCATCCCCAGGGACTGTGTGTATCTCGGCACAGCTCACAGGTACTCCCACTTATTTAGAATGAAGCACTTTTTTGTTCACTCTGACTATGATATAATGATGTCACTCATGCTGATTGAGTTAGTAAAGATGCTTTCACTGCAGTTACAATCCAATCACTTCCATCTTGTTCCATACTCGAATTCTAATACAAGTGTTACACATTTCACACTAACATGCACTTACAGGATTATTCACTAAAGTGAGAATTGCTAGGAATTCAAAGTGAATTTCAAATTGAGAGCTAAACTAACCAAACTAAAAAAAAATCTAAGTCTGCTAAGCTTCCAGTCTGACTTCTTTTGGCCTTCAATGGATGCTATAGTGCAAGGAATACAAAGCTGTATTCCTGGCACTAGAGGTCCCTCGCGCCCCCTGCCACGGTGAATAAAGGGTTAAAAACACTTTATTTCCTTACCCGATCCCAGCACTGATGTCCATAGGTGCAGGGTTACGGCTCTGCCCCCTCGGACGTACCTTGACGAGCAGGCGCTAATGCACATGTGTGGCGAGTGCCGTGCTGGCATTAAGCCTCCCCATGGGAAAGCCTTGAATCAATGCTTTCCTATGGGGAAATAGCTGATGCTGGACGTCTTCATGCAGAGTGTGAGGATGTCCAGCGTCAGTGGACCAAAAGTCTGTTAACATCCAGGAGTTGAGATAGTCTGGGTGCCTATATTGTCCCTTTAAATTCACTTGAAATTCACTTTGGATTTCTAACAATTCCTACTACAGTTAAAGTCTTTTGTGAAATATAGTGATGCAAAACTTATATAAATGACCAATTGGCCAGTCCAGGCCTGAAATAGGCCCTCTACAGCAAACGTTTGACACCTCGGAACTAGATGTTCATACACCTGCACTGGATAGTATACTCTGAACAAGTGAAAGATTAGCAGTGTATTGCCATGAAAGTACTTTGCAAAAATACAAATACATATGTTTCATAGTGACCTGGTCCCCATGTCTGAAAATGGTACCTGCTGTCAACTCAACAACAAAAACATTTTTCGTACATTTCCTTTTACAATGTTGCAATAGGAAAGTTACAGAATAGGGACACAGACACGTAGAAATTGGACATAACAGGGCAATATTTCCCAGCGATGCCAAGACAATTGAATTGCAAGTAAAGAAGGGTTCATACATTATCATGTAAACACATTGGATTCAACGGATGCTCTGTCTGAAGGATTTCACACCCTGACCATATTTATCTAGAATTAAGCATCAAATAATGTGGTTCAATTTTGGGATATCTAGGGGTCACTTGTGCAATTGTATTTATGAAATTATATAGTACCAAGCAAAGCATACATTTTTCTTAATGCTGGTTAAGATTGACTAGGGGGTAGGAAACCTTTGGCACTCCAGATACTGTGGGCTAAATATAATGCTCTTACAGCCATAATGATGGCAAAGCAATAGGGGCGATGTACTCCACAAAATCAGGAGTGCTCAAGGCTGCCTAACGCTGACCTAGACTAATCTGTTTAAAAACACTCTTTTTAATAAGTAGAACATAAAAATATTTCAATTAAACTAAATCTTGAAAAAACATATGATTTGGACACAGAGATTCATTCACTAGACATGAACTTGTAGCTAATTGGAATCTGAATTGCATTATTTAGACCAAAATAACTGATCTGGAAAAAAATATATCTCTGCTATAGTCACAGATTTGGCAAATTTTAGCCCCAGTTTGTCATTCAGGTTTTATCTCGATACATTTGGAGTTTAGTGAATAACCCTAACGTTCCTTAATAAGTTATTCTATCTATTTGTTTTTTATGTTTTAAAATATATATTATGTTTTATTGCAGGCTTTCATATCTTGTACGATAACCTAGAGATCCTGATCGGGTCTATTCTGGCCGTCGTAGCTATTTTGTTGGTCACTGTGATTGTGTTATGTGTGCTGCTAAAAGCAAAACACATCAAGGGAAACTTTAACCTCCAAGACTGCACCATGGCTCCATCAAGTTCCCATCAGAAATCCTCACTCCCCCAGCAGAGTGATTCTAGCTTGAACCTATCAAAACCCACAGGCTGCCTTCCATCTCGACATTCAGCCGAGCACGGTCCTACACTGGAGGCATCCAGCATGCTCGAACTGACGAGGATCTCTGTCGAGCAAACTGCGTGTTAATAGTGGCAAAACTGTTATCGCAATATCTATCAACAAATGATATGGTCTATACAAAACACTGGTGAAAGCAAGTATTTAATAAAATATGTATGATATAATATGCACCATGACAGTATGGCACAGAATATGAATAAAACCTAAATATGTAAATAAAATCCCACTAATGTTAACTTTATGTTTGTGGCCTGATACTGGTTATGCGTGACCTTGAGAGAGTACATGTACACGTGCACACTCAAGCACTGTATAAGTGATTGCATTTTGGCGCTGTATTAAGAAGCTCTGCGTTACTACATAACTGTTCAAAACTGCCAAATTTTCACTGTTCACATAAATTGTATGGGGTGAACTTTATGATCATTTTCAGTTGACTAATGGTGTTATAGTACATACCATCTGCACATTTTTAAAGTGAACCATTTTTTAGGTCAGTTGTGAAAACATTGAAACAAAACACCACTAGAGGTCAGTGTTTTCCTTATGCAGTTAGAATAAATGCCGAACTCAAAATTATTTTGAGTTTGATTTATTTCATCCAGGATTGGACTGTATTCATTTTTTTTTTTTTTTTTTTAATTGTGCAGGATTTGGTAAGACAGCACTCCAAAAACAAATGGGGATTTCACCAAAGTAGACCTTTATTATGGCATGTAAAGTAAATACAGAGAAGATGTGATTGTTTTAAATCTCTTTAAATTATGCCTACCTCTTGAGACTGATTTATTTTTTATTTTTAAAGACTATGCCCTGAATTTATATTTTGGGGCAAGCTTTTCAAATAAGTTAATATTTTTTTGCTAATAATATTAGAATGTAATATTGTAATAGTTAGATTTTTTTTTATTTTTTTTTTAATATTGAGAGATACGTATATGTGTATTTCTTTATATGTGTATTTCTATATATATATATATATATATATATATATATATATATATATATATATATATATATATATATATATATATATATATATATATATATATATATATGCAGGGCCGGCCTTAGGGGTGTGCGAGCTGTGGACCAGGGGGCGCCATGTGGCCAACACAGCTCGCACATGGCCGGTGTCAGGGGAGTTAAAACAGGTACCCGGATGGAGGATTTCATTATTCTCCACCCAGGTCTATTGAAAACAAAAAAATCGAGGCAGCAGGGCTTAACGATCGTTGGGGGCGGGGCTAATACCTTCCCGAAGCCCCTGGTAATTGCTGCACATGAAGAGGGAAGGAGTCCCTGCTACCCCAACAACCAACTGCATCCACTGGAAAGAGGTATGTGTGTGTGTGTGTGTGTGTGTGTGTGACTGTCTGCCTGTTTGTGTGACTGCCTGTGTGTGTATGACTGAGTGTGTGACTGTCTGCCTGTATGTGTGACTGTCTGTGTGACTGCATGCCCCTGTGTGTGACTGCCTGTGTGTGTGTGTGTGTTTGTGTGACTGCCTGCGTGTCTGTGTGACTGTCTGACTGTGTGTGACTCCAATTGTGTGTGTGTCGCTGTAGCTGTACCGTTGTGTGTGTGCGCCTGTATGTGTGACTGCCTTTAACTGTGTGTGTGCACGGACAGGGCCGCCATCAGAAATTTTGGGCCCCTGACAAAGCACAAGGACTGCCCTTCCCCTCCCCCGGGGCCCGCCCACGCCCTACCTAGTCACAATGATGCAGGACTGAATGTGGTGTGTATAGTAGAAGTGAATTAGAATATGTGTAATGGATGTAGTGTTTGTGTGTATTAGATACTGTTTGTGCAGTGAATGCAGAGTGTGTGTTTGTGTAGCGGATGCAGTGTGTATAGTGAACACAGAGTGTGTTTGAGTAGTGGATGTAGTGTGTGTACAGTGATATAGTGTTTGTGTGTACTAGATGAAATGTGTTTAGTGGATGCTGTGTCTGTAGTGGATATAGTGTGTGTATTAGATGCAGTGTCTGTGTATAGTGAATGCAGAGCGTTTCAATTTGAGGTGGGTGTACTGTGAATACAGGATGTTTGTGTAGTGGATGCTGTGTGTACAGTTAATGCATAGTGTGTGTCAGTGTAGCGAATGCAGAGAGTGTGTGTTAGTGTAGTGAATGCAGAGTGAATTGTACAAAAGTGTGTGTGTTGTGTTGGTGTATGCAGTGGGTGTGTTGTTAGTGCCTAAGGCCGGCCCTGTATATATGCTATATTTTAAAACATATGCACAATATTCTTTCCTGGCATTTTTGTTTCCTGGTATCCCATTTATAGAGACACCAGATACAAGTTTCAAGCAAATACAGCGCAAGCATGTTATTAAATTTGCTTGCGCTGTGCAGAACAAATACAGGGCCTTTTTCTCATGCTAGAGCTCTGCGCATGGTCTGCCCTAGAAAAGCATTGAACCAACATGCTCACTTTAAGATTGGGCGTGCTTGTTATTGGTGATGACAAAACCCACCCTATCTGGCCGGGTGTTCGTGTGATTGCCAAGCCGAAAACAGTTCCACACGTAAGTCCCGCTGGCCGCGTTCGGGAGATTTAAGATGGCCGCCATCCTTTGTTCTCGCCACGTGTTCGTATGCCGAATGGCAGCCACCTAGGAGCACTCAATTACTTTGCAGTTTTCATGTGATTACTTGGTGTTCTGATTGCTACCCAGGGTGGTCTCCGTTCGGTAGAACGAATAAATTTCCAGTAGGGGCTGACGGGAAGTCCAATGTTTAGTCTGATAAGTCAGTTTGGCGCGACAGCCCGTCCGCATTCCCGTTTTGCTTGCCTGGGCGGTAGTGGATAGTAAAGTCATAGGGTTGAAGGGCAAGGGTCCAGTGCAGCAAACCGGCATTATCTCCTGAGACCCGGTTGAGCCAGACCAAGGGTCATTGATGAGTGTGAAGGCACGGCCATATAGGTAGGGGGTTAATTTCTTAAAGGCCCAAACCAATGCCAAGCACTCCTTCTCAATGGCCGCATAACTGACCTCCCTTGGTAGAAGTTTTCGGCTCAGGTAGGCCACCGGGTGTTTCCCTCCGTCCTCTCCGATCTGGCATATTACTGCCCCCAGTCCAAACATTGAACTGTCTGTGTGGACGATAAAGCGTTTGTTAGGATCTGGGAAGCCAACACAGGAGCATTAACCAGGGCCTTTTTTAGAGCTTGGAAAGCCACCTCACACTCCGGGGACCTCAGGACTTGTCGGGGTAACTTCTTTTTAGTCAAGTCCGTCAGGGGTTTGGCCACGGCGCTATAGTCTGGTACAAAGCGTCTATAATAGCTGGCTGTCCCCAAGAAGGCCATGACTTGTGTCTTGGTACAGGGAGTTGGCCAATTAGCAACGGCCTCAATCTTAGCCGGCTCTGGCCGTTGCTTACCACACCCAACTCGGTGGCCCAAATATTGCACCTCCGCTATACCAATGTGGCACTTGTCTGGTTTCAAGGTTAAACAGGCCCCCCTAATCCTGTCTAATACTGCTCCTACGTGTTCCAGATGCGCCTCCCAGGTATCGCTATAGATGGCGATATCGTCCAGGTAGGCACAGGCATAGTCTTGGAGACCTTCTAACAGGTGGTCCACCATCCATTGGAAAGTGGCCGGGGCGTTCTTCATCCCGAACGGCTAAACCCGGAATTGGTATAGGCTGAACGGGGTGATGAACGCTGACTTGGGTACCGCATCTTCCGCTAGGGGGATCTGCCAGTATCCCTTACACTATACATGTTAAAATCCTTTAACCTTTCCTGGTAATTTTTTTTTTTTTTATAATTCTTTATTTTGGTAGTGCATTGTTAAGTACATAGGAAACATTAACATGTCAGGAAAGAGCAGTACAAAATGTTACAAGGAGTATTACTATACATGTTGAGATTGCTGCACCTTTTTTTTATTTATTTTTTTTAAAAGGGGAAGGAAAATATCAATGAGAAGTAGTGTTCAGCGCTTGATGTGGGAAAGGAGTGGAGAGGATACTACCATAGGCTATGCACTGGCCATGATTACAAGGTTCTACGATTCAATCTGAGTATTGAAACTATGCGCTGTTCACAGCTTGCCGGTGGATAGGGGATCTATATACATACATATAGACTTGTATTCTAGATGTAATTGCTTCTAGGTAGTGATCGAGGCATATACCGGCAGCTATATATGAGTGTAGCGAGTAGAGCAGTATACCATGCTCTGGTAGGTAGTGAGGGGTGGAACCACCGTTGGTGGGCCTGATTTAACGTGATAGCAGGTTTGGAACCATGTACTGGTCTTGAGTTAGATCTTGCTGATTCTGTGTCAGGGGGTTAGTGGCGTGAGTGCTGCCCTCCTCGTTAAAAAGGGGGGGGGGAGATGACTGCCTTAGTGCCTGGCTAACCTCTCTGTGAAGGTGTTGCCCCTGACCAAGGGGGTAGCAGGGGGGGGGGATGTTGGCGATACGTGACTGAGTATGTGTGGCTGTATAGAACCGGACTAGGGCCATAGATGGCATTGCGTCATAAATGCCTGGTTATGTTATGGTGGGCCTGATCTCCCTGTTCTGGGTGACCAAGGTCAAAAGATCGTGATTTCGTGTGGGTGGTGTTGCATTAATAAACAAAAGTATACATAAGGAAAATTAAAAATACGGTAAAAATATGTGAGCAAAGTCATAGCAGTAAAACTTTGTAATTCTGCAACTGTGCAGCCTAGAGCTGTTGGTTAAACGAGTCCCTCCAGTGGGTTTGGGTTGGGGCTGAAAGCGACCCTTCCAGTCAGGTGTCCGGCGGGCCGGCGGCTGCAGATCTTGGCACAAATGGTGTCACATTGGATGGGTCCCATCCGTGGGCGTGATTTGAGTCCGATGGGGCCCCCGTTGCCTCCTGCATATCCAGAGCTGCGAGGAACGCTGGGATATCAGTCCCTGTGGTTAGTTTTCGTGTGGTCCCCTTGTGTGTGGCAAGGAGGGATCGTGGGGGGCCCCACCTGTAGGGCACTCCTGCAGCCCGTAGTCGGGTGGTGACAGGGGTCAGGGATTTTCGCCACTGCAAGGTGGCTTTGGATAGGTCCTGGTAAAAGGACAATTGTGAGTCCTCAAATGTGAGCGGGGTCTTGTTCCTTACCGCTGTCATTATTTGCCCCTTGTCTTGAGGTAGTGCGCAGCGGAGTATGACGTCGCCTGAGGTTGTGGTGGTGGTCGTCGGAAGGCGATACATCCCAGCTATGTTTATTTTTTTTGCAGTGGTGGGTGGCAACACTGTGGCTAGTAGCCTTCTCACGTAGTGTGGCAGCTCCTCCTGAGGGACGGCTGCTGGAATGCCCCTTATCTTGACGTGGTTGCGGCGGTACCTGTCCTCCTGTGCTGCCACCTGCAGTGATAGAGCCTGATGGGCTGCCTGTAGTTGGGTTATAGTTGTCTGCATGTTGGAGGTGTCTTGGTGGAGCACTTTAACATCTGCTTCAGTTGCCTCCAGTCTGCCTGTGAGTTGTTGCAGGGAGGATTTTAGGATGGGCAGGTCAGCAGTAAGTAGGCCTTGAATGTCCTGTAGCATGGTGTGTAGGATTTGGAGGTCTTGTTTGGTTGCAGGCTCAGTGTTACCAGCTGATGTTGTGGGCTGCTACTGTGTATCTTCCGCTGGGCTCTGTAGCTGGGATGTTGCAGGGGCAGCTGTGTGGGGAGACCCTGGTGAAGGTGGGTATTCGGCGGCCGCCATCTTGGTTGAGGTGTGCCGCTGGAGCATAGCTCCGATGTCCCTCTGTTCTAGTGCATTACCAGGTGTGGATTTCTGGTTTCTGCGCCCCATAGGCGTGTTGGCAGGTGCCGTTTGTGTCGGCCACAGTTCTGCTGCATTTCCCTCAGGGTCCCCGCCCCAGAGATACTCGAGGTCGCGGTATGAGGGCTTGAGGTAGGCCCCGGTTTTGCGTTTTACCTTTAGGTGCTTCGGGGAGTACTGGAATGGCATCTGTGGGTTCAGGGGGGGGTCCCCAGATTGTATCCGGTATTTGCAGGGTCGATGGGGGCTTGTTATTAAGATATCCTTTGGATTGTGTATTTGTTCCCTGGAGCTGGGAGAAATGGCGTCCGGTCCGGTTCAGTGCCAGGCTCCGCCCCCTTTCCTGGTAATTTTTATCCTGCAATCCATGAACCAGTTTAGTAGCCCTTCTCTGAACTCTCTCTAAAGTATCAATATCCTTCTGGAGATACGGTCTCCAGTACTGCGTACAATACTCCAAGTGAGGTCTCACCAGTGTTCTGTACAATGGGATGAGCACTTCCCTCTTTCAACTGCTAATACCTCTTCCTATACAACCAAGCATTCTGCTAGCATTTCCTGCTGCTCTTTTACATTGTCTGCCTACCTTTAAGTCATCAGAAATAATCACCCCTAAATCCCTTTCCTCAGATGTTGAGGTTAGGACTCTATCAAATATTCTGTACT